GGAGAATGGAGGAGAAGGGATTGCGGCGTGACCATCCCCCCTGGGAGGTGATTTCTTGCTTTCTGTCTCTATGTCTCTCTCTGTCTGTCTGGCGAACGCACGTGCCCTATAGCGGAAAAAAACCTCTCAGAAAAAAAAAAAAGACACATGTGCTTGCCAGAGAGAGAGAGAAAGAGAGAGAGACAGAAAGCGAGAAATCACTCCCCATCTCCCAGGGGGATGGCCATGCTTCAATCCCTTCTTCCATTTTCTTCTATGGATCTTAAGGCTTGCATACTCACACACCTGGCATGAGTTTCAAGCTGCTGGGTCCAGGACTCGAACTGCAGTCGGCTACTTGGGAGTCCAGTGATGTAACCATTATGCTATTTGCTGGTCTCAGAGACTTTTGCATGGGAAGATTTTATGGGCCAGGTCTGTAGGTGACATATATTATTTTGTTCACATTCCATTACTCAGTCACCAAACTGCACCTAACTGTAAAGGGGGCTGGAAATGATTCTAGTTGTGTGGTCACAGGGGAAAAAATGTTTGGTAAATAACTAGACAGTTTTTTTTTTTCCATATTCAGTGGCAAGAATCTCTATTTCCAACTTGTTCTCCATCAGTTTTCTCTCCACTGTTCTTTTAATTAGAGTCAACCTTCCATTGTACAATTAGAGTATACTACTATACAATACGTCTATACAATTTAGTATGTTATTAAAGTCAGATTCTTTTTCTGGAGCAGGTACATTCCCCGGCACTTCCTAGAATAGTGTCTGGAATATATGTACACAGGTTCTACAGGTCAGAGAACCTTAGCAGTCCTAACAGAATTTAAATTCTAGACCGCCTTCTCTACCTCAAGGTCCCCCTCCAGGAGCAGTGTCTTAGCTCTCTAAGTTCTCATATAGCACTGTCATACTCTAGCAATTAGTAATTACAGAATAATAGAAACAATCATTAGTAACTTATAATTATCTTCTCTTCCCAAGTATAAGATCCTTTAGCATGAATCGTCTCGCCAACAGATCATAATTCATCTTGATAACAGGTTTGATGGAGTTACATGAGACACGAGCCTGGCTCATTAATGCTATTATTGTTTTTAAACTCTCAGCGGCAGTAGTGTTTCCTAAGTATTAATTAATCTTCATGATGTCTCTGTGAGGTGGGTTAAATATAACTAAACTCATTCTACCGGAAAAGGAATTGGCAACGTGGTGATCTCCTCAATGAATCTCTTTGTTACCAATGGATCTGAGAGTAGAAATAGAAATAGCTGAACCTGACTCATTTTTCTATGACACTACGTATGCACGCATGACTTTCATGTGCTATTTCTATCTGCCTGAAAGAGAACATTTAAGTACTGGGGGCAGCAATCGATGTGGTGGCTAAGGTGCTGGCTTCCACATGGCCAACTAGGCCGATCAAGTCCTGGACCTAGCGACTTGGAAAAACACACCAGGCACATGTGCATGTGTGTCCAAAATCTCAGGAGGAGAATGGAAGAGAAAGGATCACAATGTGGCCATCCTCCCAGGGGCAAGTTCTCACTTTCTTTCTCTGTCTCTCTGGCAAGTGGACATGCCCTATTGCAAACAAACAAACAAAAAACCACAAAACAAAAAAACCCTTAAAACCCTATAACAAAACCTCAAGGTCTCAAGGAATTCATAAAAGTCAGTTCATACAGGGTGAATTCTGAGACATTTTTACACACTTCCTCTTGAAATGCTTAACTAAGAGAAACAGTGGTCATTATGGTGTGTCTGCCCTCAAACTCCCACTCTTTTTAGCAATTTACCATTTGGTCATCACTAGCTGGGCTTCCTTATTATCTTTTCTCTGAAGGTCTTGAGGCATTGGGCAGAAAAATAAGGCATCCAAAGGAGCTAAATTGAATGCTCTGTCACATGGCAGTGTGCAGCTCAATGGCAAGGACATGAGTTAGGATCCAAGACCTGCCAACTACCAGTTTGCTGTGCAGCTTTGAAAAAGCCACTTGCCTTCTCTGGTTACTGTTCTGTTGCTTCTAAATGGAAATGACTTGACCTGCTTAAGTGCCGGGACTAACAAGAGAGAATGAATGTGGAGTGCCCGGTGACCTGGTGGCCTTGGTCAGTAATGGGATACCTTATTAATCCCGTAAATCAGTGATGCAGCTCCTTAGCCCCTAATAAAGGGACGAAGGAGCCTTAATAGGAGGCTGTGATATTAGATGTGTGTAGAAATTTTTGTTTAATGTGGTAGTCATTGTTGGCTCTTAGTTTAGTACAAAGGATTTCTCTTAATCCAAAATAACTCTTAATATATAGCAGTATAGTGACACCAGCAGATGTTGTAATGGTTACATTGCTAGACTCCCATGTAGTTGACTGCAATTCAAGTCCTGGACACGGTGGCTTAAAACTCAGGCCGGGTGTGTGTATGCACGTGCCCAAAATCCTGAGATGAGACTAGAGGAGAAGGGATTGCAGCTTGGCCATCCCCCCCCGGGGAGTGGGGTGATGTCTTGCTTTCTGTCTTTCTGTGTCTCCAGAAAGTGCATGCACCCTATAGCAAAAACCTGTCTAAAAAATGACATAGTTGTATAGTAAAAATGTATTTTCAAACAAATGAATACAAGCTAGTGACTTCTAAAGAGAAAAAAAAGGAGAGTAGATCACTGTATCCTGGATGGGACTTTGCCTATCTGGTATCTAATTTGGTTACCAGTCATTCAAGAACGTAAGGGAAGAGGGCGGCTTGAGCCGAGAGAGAGATTGTGGACAGAAAGTGGAAATAGTAGGCACTGGAAAGTTCCCGCGTTCAAGACCATGCCAGTCACCTAGTACACTGAGGAAGGAGAACGGGCAAAGGTCGCATTTTACCATGCCATTCTTGCCCTTTTCCTTCAGAGCACAGGAGCAGTCAATGGTCAAACAGAGCTGTACACTACTATGATCCACTGCAGAGGCTGTTTCGGAGGGCTGGACCGGGTCTTGCCCCACACCAGGCAATGCAGTATTGGATAGGAAGATTACCATCTTGTGGCTGGGCCCTTGGCCTCATCTTCTCTCTCCTACTGGCCTCAGGAGAGACCACCCTCTAGTGTCTCCCAGTTAGCACCTGTATTCCTCAGGGGAGGGGTATAAACCCCACATGCAAGAGTCCCTTGCCTCCAATGTCTGATGGGATGGGGATGTGAGTTACATGCAGGGGAGACCCTATGTAAGTCATTGGAGTTCAGAGGGGCAGAATTTTGCCCCATTCTTCATCTCTCAAAGGAGCTCACTTTTCCAGCTTCTTCATCTGCCCATCAAGGCTGGCGGAGTCCCCTTATCTGTGGCCGGGTTTTCATGCATTGCTGTCTGCACCTGAGTTAAGGGGGTGATAGTGTCCTTCAGGGAACTAGAAATCATTCGCTGGGTTGTATCCATGTGTCGGAGGATGACAAAATTGCATGGCTTGCTCATGATGGCAATGCCTCTGAATCCGGTCGGGAAGGGCGGAGATGGGGCTCCGTGCTGTGCAGTATCACACAGCACCTTGCTTTGTGTATCTGTGTCCCTTACAGAAGCTTTGGGTTTGGCATTTCATTCACTATTCCTAGAATGCCCTGCAGCTAAGCTTCCATTTGGTCTGAAATGGGAGAGTCCAGGGTGTTCACCTTTGCACACACTAGACAGAAAGTCTCCGTAGGACACATCCCCTGTAGTCCTGCAGGAAGGGGATTCTGAGCATGCTTGTCACAGTGCACACAGTTGCCATCAGCTCTGTCAGGTGCTTCTCAAGGTCTGCAACTTTGGCAGCATCAGAGAACTTGTCCTGCTCAGGTCAAGAATGTAATTCATAGGGGACCAGCAGATGGTGTAATGGTTACATCACTGGACTCCCACGTAGTTGACCGTGGTTCGAGTCTCAGACCCAGCAGCTTGAAACTCATGCTGGGTGTGTGTGCATTTGTACCCAAAGTCCCAAGAGGAGAATGGAGGAAAGGGGACTGCGGCATGGCCATTCCCCCCGGGGAGGGGGGTGATTTCTCAGTTTCTGTCTCCATGTCTCTCTCGGTCTCTCCAGCAAGTACACATGCCCTAAAGTAAATATCTCTCTTAAAAAAAAGAAGAAAAGAGAACACAGTTCGTAAGAGACAAGGCTGCTGCCCGGGGTGGGGCATCTCCGTGGCCTTTCCCCTGAACCAGGCTTTGCTGTTGCTTGTCTCCCAGCTGCAGTGGTGGCCCTCAGTCAGGCTCCACGGGCCAGTTCCGTGGGCTGTGGAATGTCAGCCAGCATCTTCTCCAGGTGGGAAGAGCCAGCTGCTGCTTCAGGGCCCGATGTTTAGGCAGCCCCACACAGTCCCCAGGGGCCGACTCTGTCACCTTGGTTGCTCCACTTTAGTGTCAGCTGTTGGGCCTCACGCGGTGTCACTGGTACTTTTGCTAGGGTGTCTGCTTCATGTCTAGGTCCTGCCTAGCAGCTCGTATTCTCTGTATTCAAAACTTGTTGACTTTTCCCGTATGATCTGAGAAATCAAGTCCCTTTGTCGCCGCTGTCATCCTTGGAGACGTCACAGGCAGACTTGGGGTGCCACTGATGTGCTCCATACCGTGCTCCGGCATCCTCTGGGAGGTCGCTGATTTCAAAAACGTCTGGCTCGTTCCTGGCATGCCGGAAGATCAGAATATTTAGTTTGCCATCGAGGCCCTGAGACTGGGCTGCAGAGCCAGGGCCTGGATGGAGCTGCGGCCTGTGCTTGGGGACGGGAGAGGCTGGATCTGGGTTCTGGGCTAAGCTCCTACATTTCTGTAACCTTCGTATTTTCTAAGTTTTACTCTCTCCTCTTAAATATAGGGAGATGAAGGCCCTAGGGCATGGTGCTACATCTATAAGGCTAACCTTACTTGAAACAATTAAAAATAATTTCCTATTTTAGCTCATCAGATTAAACAATATACCCCAAAAGAAAAACAATAAATAAACCTGAAAGCGTTCTCTGTTGTAATGAAAATACAGTATTGGATGTTGGATCTTACCCGTGTAGATATATTCCGCATACGCAGGGTGCGTTTTTGTGAAGACCTCTTTTACTTTCTCCGTTCTGTCAGCTCTTATTTTTGTTGCAAACGGTGTGTACATAACTGAGAAAGAGTCGGCTCTGGTGATGGCTTCTTCAACCATGGCCTGAGAGGAGGCAAATCACCCATTTGGCATCAATAGCAACATATGACTTTTTAAAAAAATGTAAAAAATACAATTACCTTTACGGATGCTTTAGAAATCTATATACTATCGTGCAAAGATAACATATTTTGGTTTTGAATATTCATTAGAACAGAATTTTAATTAGTTCTGGAAATACCATTTCATATTAAGAAAACCAATTAAACGAAGAAAGTTTGTAAATAGACGCCGCTAAATGAGCTTTTTTAAAAAAAGATTTTTGCCATAGGGTGCGTGCCCTTGCCAGAGGCAGACAGAGAGAGAGACAGTGAGAAGGAAAGTGAGAACTCACCCCCCAGGGGAATGGCCATGCTTCAACCCCGTCTCGGTTTTCTTCCTGGGGTCATGGACACACCTGCGCACAAGCCCAGTGTGAGTTTTGAGCCCCTGGGACTCAGACAGCTCTTGGTCGTGTGGGAGTGCAGTGCCTTTACCACCACGCCACCTGCTGGCTCCTAATAACCTTGTTTAAAGGTAGAAATACACATTTTATTTTCTGAGGTGTCATTTTTTTAAACGTGATCTTAAAAATCAAAGTCTTAAGTCTAGCATTAAAATGAATTTACTCATGAACGAACACTGGTGAGCAACTTACACAGAGTTTTCTTTAAAAAACTAATTAAAATATCTAGATTTTTAGTATTTTCCTTGATATAGCGAACTAGATAGACAGCATTTTTTCCTTCTGCCAATACCTAGAAAGGTGTTTTGGAGTAAGAGAAGCCTTCCTTAACACCCTCCCAGTGAAGCATCCCTTCTCTCTGGGTCACAGGTGCCATTTAAAATAGATTTGGTGATTCAGGAGGTTTCTTTGGGATTTTGCTCATGCACCATTCTTGATAAAGCCTTGCCAAGTCCTGAGCTTCCTGTTTTAAACAGGTCCATTACTATTTATAACAGACCCCCCAAAAGTTATGCGATGTTTTAAAAGTGATTTATCCCTTTCTTACAACTCTCCTTCTAATGAGGCTTGAACATTGAGTAAAAAATGGAGATGTTTATAGTTAACTCATTTTTTCTGAAAATGGCATAAAAGCATGTTATAAAAATTTATATTTATTCATGGACATAAAAATTTCCTCTGAAAAGTAAGAACACCAACAACCAATAAGGAAAAATAATACATTTGAACTTCGCTGCCAAGAAAACAAAAATGAACAATTTGTATTATTATTAACGTAGTATTTTGCAAACAAGTTTTTTATTGACGTTGAAGGTATAAGGAATACATTTTAACCGGAGAAACTTAATTAAACTGGTTCATTGTCTATTCTATTCCTCAGTGACTTCACGCAGCCTTTATGATCATCGATGGTATTTATAAAGAGCAGCACAGCAAGAATTTTCTGGATGCCAAGGTCTTCCTTTCTCTGAGGTGAGCATTAGAAAATGATGTAAAATTAATGGTGGACGAATTCCTGAATGAAATGTGACAAATTCCTGAATGACTGAGTGATGAAACTTGCGTTGCCCACAGCGCTGTCCTTTCCACGTTCAAGGAACTGGAAGCGAGTAAAGGGTGGCCTTGTGAGGCCGACAGGGCCAGCACTCAGAGGGCGATAGCAATGGCTGGGACATGGCAGGGTCTGGACGCCGAGGCCCGGAGGCTGACTTTGGAAGGCTAACAAGGATCAGGCAGCAGCAAGTTAGAAGTGAGAAATGCAGAGTTAAGAACTCCAAAAAAGAAGTTTAAGCCCCAGGCACTGATCTACCCAAAACAAAGGCCCTTTCTACTGAGTAGGAAAAATGATTCCTCCAGCTCCGTGTACACATACATTCACTTCTGGAACCAGTCCTGAGATGGGCTGTCCAGACTGAACGAGCCTGTAGTGGTACCTAGATGCAGGTGGGATATGAGCTGCAGAGGAACATGGTTCCAGACCTCAGTTCCTAGGTCAGGACCTGAGTTACTGCCCTTGGAAGCTGTTGGGCCCTGTCTTACTAATAGTTTCACAGGGTTGCTGTAACAACTTACACAGGGGGGTGGCTTAAGCAACAGAAATTCGTTTTCTTATAGCTCTGGACACCAGAAGGTGAAGAGCAGGGTGGTAGCAGGCTTGGTTTCTTCTGAGGCTTCTCTCCTTGTCTTTTAGACAGCTGTCTTCTCCCTGTGTCTCCACAGGGACTTTCTATGCTGTGTCTCCTCTTCTTTTCTTTACTTTTTTTTTTTTTTCATATGGCATGTGCATTCACCGGAGAAATGCAGAGACAGTGAGAAATCACACACACACACACACACACACACACACACACACACACACACCGGGGGGATGGCCATGCTGCAATTCCTTCTCCTTCATTCTCCCCTCAGGATTTTGGGCACGCACGCACATGCACCCAGTGTGATTTTCAAGCTGCTGGGTCTGGGACTCAAAGCATGGTCAACCATGTGGGAGTTCAGCTTTAACCACTATGCCACCTGCTGGCCTCAAATCTTCTCTTCTTTTAAAGATACCAGTCATGCTCGATCAGGACCTACACACCCTAACAGCCTCACTTTAACCTAATAACCTCTTAAAAAGATCCTGTCTCCAAAGGCAGCCTCATTCTGAGGCACTGTGGAGTTAGTATGTCAACATAGGAGTCTTTGGGTAATACAGTTCAGCTCATAACAGTTCCTAACACTTAAGAAAACTTTCTCCAATGGTCTCCCTGAATATCTTGGTGGAGAGTATTTTACTTTAAATTCTAGACCAAAAAAATCCCTCCCAAACCGAGCAAATCAGTGAAGATAGCTAAGCCTTGCGACTGCTTCCAGATAGATTTTAGTAGTACCCCGTCGGGCCAGGGTGGAAGAAGATCTCCCTACACCCCAGTTCTTTTTCTGCTGCTGGCAGCCTAAGTGACTGCTGGCAGGGTAGCTTTGCTAAGCCACCTCTCAGTGGGAATGGCAAGACGTGTGCCCAAGAGCTTACACCAGTTATTTTCTGCGAGTGGCAGAAGCGTGGTTTCTGTGTGGCAGCTTGATCTCCTTGCTGAGGGATCTGTATTCTTGGCTTAATCTCTAGGCACTGCACTCAGGCCTTCACAGGGCTCTACTCCTGGGGGTGAGTGCTAGGGGGCAGTCTTCCTCTGTCCTCACTGAGAGCCGACAGGGTCGATTCCTTGTGTAGCTCTGTCCTCCATCCTAGAGCTGGGTAAGGAAGTGGGTGATAGGCAGAGTACACACGTAATTTACAAACAAGAACTGAGTTCTCCATGGGGATGCTTTCTCAAAGCAAATGACTATTTCCTCAAAGAGAAATGCTAGAACATTGGATAAACAGAAATGCGGATGCAGATTACTCTCGCTCCGATGCCGAAACATCTTGGCTGTGTGTAATGTACTAATATCTTTTATTCTGCTAGAAACAGACAGTCTTGAGGCTTTGAACCTGTCTCATGTTGCTCTCATAAAGGAATAGAGTACTATTACTACACATGTATCTTCAGCACTGTTGGTACATTATTGAATAATTCATTAGTGAAACAATCTAGAAAACATTTTAGCCTCTGTAATTTATTAAAATAGAAATTTTTCACTACTTTGGTTCAGACACCGAAATGTTAAGATTTTTCAGTTCGTGGTAGTAGTACTTTGATGGAGTTGAACTTGTCTTCCATGAAGAGTCTATTATGTCTAATGTAAAAAAAAGCATTTACTGAAAGATTTTTAAGAACTAGAATATTTTGAAACAATCTTTGATAATAAAATATAAACTACAGATTTTTTAACTCACTTTTCATGATCTGTCAAGGTTTGGCTTTGATTTTGAAAAGAGAAGAAGAGATCAGAGGAGGGATTGTGCTGGAGATCGAGGTAAATTTCAAGTATGACTTTTCATTTGACATAAACATTCTGCGGTAGAATCATTCTTTTCCAATGCGTGAGTTCCTCTGATGTCAATGACTATTGCACGTGTGCCGAGAACGGGGCAAACAGTCCGCGAGCCCCATGTCAAACGTACATGGCTGTTAATTATGCTTCCTCTGCTGCTACTTCAAAAGAAGCTTTGAAATTAGGTGTTTACATTTGGGGGTTCTAACAACTCCCTATTGTTACTCTCGCATTTAGCAAGTTTTAAAGCATGGATTGTAGTCACATAAACCAAGCGTGTATGTGGGCAGCTCATTTCCTCTACAATAACATAATAGTTTCTCCTTGCAGTTTAAGTAAAAAGAGCCACTTGCTACCTTAGAAATCAGTTGGTGCAGGATAACGCCTAACAAGAGAGGCTTTGAGAGAAGAACAAAGGCAGATACTCCATCAGGGGGAATGGAGAATAGCAGAAATAGAGGGGACCAGAGAGAAAGAGAAAGATACAAAATTCATCTTCCTCTTTCATGCTCAAGAGGGTTGGTTCTTCCTGGCAAATGTTTAAGAGTGCTCAAGGTGGCCAAAACAGAGCTGAAGAAACCAGAATCCTCGAACCTGTCCACAACGATTTGACTATGTATTTCTTTTTTTTTTTTCTTTTATTTTTTCCTGAGGATTTGGGGAGGTAGTAACTTTTAAAAAAAATCATTTAAAAATTGTAACTTTTAAACTATGCTCCTGGTGATAGTGGTTCAGGAAATGGAAATCCTGTCATTTCTAATTGGAAAATGTCATCTAATTATTATAGATTGTTACCAAATCATTCCTTTATTGCTTCCAATATTTGGGGTTGGCTGTAATGGCCGGAAGTTAATTTACTTAAATGACTAGATCTGGAAGAAAACTTAGGCATTTTCTAACCCAAATCACTGTGATCTGGAGAGGCTTCAGCGGCTATTCTAAGGAGGTACAGCTTTTAGTTTTTCATAGAACTTAGAATTAAGGCCTCAAATATTTTATTTCATGTTCCTTTTAAAAAATTATGATTTTATTTCATGAGCACATAGGAGGTGGGCATTTTTCCAGGTAACTGTGGCTGAGGTGGGCCAATGGAATGCAGAAAAGAGTGATGCTTTTTCTTGGCCTGGCCCACGGAGTACTGCTT